TGGCTTTCCCGCAGGAAGTTTTGCAAGCCTGGGGTCTGAGCCGGGGAGGGCGGGAGGCTGCAGAGGGGCTGCAGAGCTCAGGGGGAGCAGCATCCTCCCCCCACGTCCCCCCAAATGTGCTAAGCAAGCTTGCTGTCAGGCGGCGGTTCCCCCTCCTGATACGATAGAGCTGCGCTGCAGCCTCCAGAGGAAATAAAAAGACACGCCTTGTGTGAACGGTGGCTTTCCTGATGTAAAGGGCTGAACCCGCTGCCTTATCCACCCAGCACATTTGTAAATACTTATTTATTTATTGGAAATATACCCTACGCAATGCACAATCACATGGTGATTTTGTGTGTAGACCAATAAAGCTTTTACAGTCTGGTTTATAGAAAGCTGCTAATGAACGATTCCTTCTCCCCTTCCCTGAAATGCCTGGGTTTCCTCACCCAGCACCGGCCCCTCTTGCAGCCAGAGCTCCAGAAGTCACAAACCCCGCTGGAGAAACGAAAATACAAATAAATAAATAAATAAAAAGGAGCCATGGGCTCGTAGCGGGGAGCATCAGGCTGAAAACATTGCCCTGCCGGTTGTTTCACCAGCGTGATTAAAATAGAAGGAGTGAGCCATAAATACTGGAGAGCAAGAATAACATTCAGAGGACAAAGTTAAAACCAAATAAGCTGGAAATGGCTAATTTAACGCTGCCCCAGCGCAGCCGAGCCGGTGCAGCCCCAGCACTGCCCTTCTGCTGGCGTTCCCAGGGCTGTGGGGCTCAAGTACCGCCGGAGGTGATGGTTGCCCGGGGCAAAGAGAGCGGGATGCGGTTCTCCTGGGTTTTTCTTGCGGAAAATACGATTTTGGTCCTGTGTGCGCTGAAATCCCTTCGCCTGGCACTCTGCAGGGGTGGGGGAGGTTTACTGGTGGGACCTGAGGTTTGGTGGTTTTTTTCCTTTCCCCATTAGCTGAAGGGAGGCTGGGCCCTCCCTGGCACCTGCCGAGGCTCGGTGTGCATAGTCTCAAGCTGTGATCTCCGTTGTTGAGAAAATCCCTGCTTTTTGGGTAAAAGGAACCCAAAGGGGTCAGGTCGATCCCGTGCTCTCTGTGCCCTGCGGAGCTGCCGCAGGAGCCCAGTCCAGTCCCATCCCCTTGCTCTCCTGCAGACGGAGCGGGGCTGATGGGCTTTAGGACTTTTCCTCCATCCCTCAGAGCACGTTTGGGGAAGGAACGGGCAGTTTCTGGTTTATTATTCCGGAGGGGCACCCGCCCCGTGGCTACAGTCACCGTTCGCTAATGCGTTTTGAAATCCTCCTCGTCACCGACCCCAGCGGAGGCTCCTCGGTGCTGAAGGTAACGGTGATAGTTGCTCAGTCAACATTAATTAGCTGTGTCATTGGCCAGTCCTATGGC